AGTATATAACCAAAATAAAATAGTGATATAGAAAATAACTATATACAAAATAAGCATATACCAAAAAATTAAGTAGTCGAGTGAAATGTACGGATTTGCAAGTGTTGGGATAAGACCTAGTATATAAGTATATAACCAAAATATAATAGTGACCATGCGATATAGAAAATAACTATATACAAAATAAGCATATAACTGAAATATAAAATGCCATGCAATATGCAATATGCAATATACAATATATAAGTATAGAATTGAAATATAACAATAATGGCCATGAAATATACAAAATGCATTACAAAATGGGCGTATACAAAAATAAATACGCCAAGCACTCTCGAGTGCACCTGTAGGGATTTTCAGGTCTTAGTATATAAGTATAGAATTGAAATATAACAATAATGGTCATGAAATATACAAAATGCATTACAAAATGGGCGTATACAAAAATAAATACGCTAAGCACTCTCGAGTGCACCTGTAGGGATTTTCAGGTCTTAGTATATAAGTATAGAATTGAAATATAACAATAATGGCCATGAAGAAACAAAATTCATTACAAAAAGGGCGTGTACAAAAATAAATACGCCAAGCACTCTCGAGTGCACCTGTAGGGATTTTCAGGTCTTAGTATATAAGTATAGAATTGAAATATAACAATAATGGCCATGAAATATACAAAATGCATTACAAAAAGGGCGTATACAAAAATAATTACGCCAAGCACTCTCGAGTGCAGCTGTAGGGATTTTCAGGTCTTAGTATATAAGTATAGAATTGAAATATAAGAATAATGAATATGTAATATACAAAATGCGTGCAAAATAAGCGTATAATTAGTAGGCAGCACCCCTGAGTGCAAATGTACGGATATTCAGGTCTTAGGGATAACATTTAGTACTTAAATGTACCGAACTAAAATATGATAATAATGAACATGCAATATACAAAATGCGTACAAAATATAAGCTTATAATTAGGTAAAGCACTCCTGAGTGCAAATGTACGGATTTTCAGGTCTTAGTTTATAAGTATAAAACTGAAATATAATAATGGCCATGCAATATACAAAATAAATATATAAATACATATATGTATATATATATATATTATATATATATATAAATTTTCAATAAACTCTAACCTTGAATATATTTTCAGGTCATATTATCGTCATTTACTACAAGCCTGAATGCTACAGCTTATATAAAAATAGTCTGAGAATTCTCCTTATAATACAAGAGATAAGTGAATGAAGATGCTGCAAAGGTAGGATTTTTTTTATTGTATCTTATCTATCTATTATTTATAAGTCATTCGTGAAATATGATAATGACCATGCGATATAGAAAATAACTATATACAAAATAAGCATATACCAAAATAATTAAGTAGTCGAGTGCAATCTACGGATTTGCAGGTGTTAGGGATAAGACCTAGTATATAAGTATATAACCAAAATATAATAGTGACCATGCGATATAGAAAATAACTAT